GTGTCGGGCGAGGAGAACATGCGCGGGCCGCCGATGTCCGCCTTGAGCGCGAAGCTTCCGGGCGTGGTGCCCTCGCGGAGGGAGGAGGGATTCTCCGCGCCGTGGACGGGCGGGGTGAAGAGGTCGCTCAGAACCGGCGTCTCGCTCGCGTCGCCCTTGGATGGTCGCGTGTGGCTCACCGCCTTGTGCGCGGGTGAGCCCTCGCCGATGTGCTCGGGGGCGGCAGTCGGGTAGCGGTTGGTGCGGTCGTTGGGGGTGATCATGGCGGCGCTTTCATATGGATGAAGCCCGCGCCGTTGAGAGGGAGCCTTCTGAATCACGGGCTGGAAGCCCGTGCCACGGAAGACATCGCTTTCCCTCCGCCGGTGCGAGCCGGATCAGGTTCCACGGGTCCGTCTCAGCCCCACAGAGGGGCGCCCCGAGCGATGGTCACAGTGTAGGCGATCCGACCGCGCCCGCGTGCCGGGCGATCGCCCGAATCGCGTCCGTGCCGCTCTGGGGCGGGTTTGGGGTGTCAGTGCTGGATGTTGTCGTTCGCGCCGGCCGTCGCCGGATCGGCCGCGACGGGGACCACGTTGCTCCCGCCCGGGTGGGTGATGAACGTGTCCCAGTCGTTCCGGATCACCAGGTTGGAGGTCCCGGTGATCTCGACGCTGTCCAGGACACCCATAAGGATCGAATTGCCGATGACGCGGCACTGGCTCCCATCGATCCTGATGGGGTTGAGCGTGAGCGTGTTCCCGACGACCGCGGTATTGAACCCGGTGACGAGGATGCCGTGATGCCCGTTCTCCGTCAGCGTGTTGTCCCGGACCACGGACAGGTTCCCCGCCTCGATGCCGTCGTTGCCGTTCTCGTGCGCGGCGGACCCGCGGACGGTTCCGCTCACGATGCGGAAACCGTCGATCACGTTGCTCGCGGCGAGGCAGCCGTCGGCGAGCGAATCGGCCGCCAGCACGAAGCCGTCTTCGTTCTCTCGCGACACGCAGGACGTGAAGGCCGAGCCCTCGCCCGCGGAGAACCCGGCGCCTGTGTTCTCCGACGACGTGCAGGACTCGAAGACACTCGACGTGTGACCGTTGAATCCTTCGCCGCTGTTCTCCCGCGCGATGCACCCGCGGAATGACGCCGGCGCGCGCACGATGAACCCGTCGAAGGTGTTCGCCTCCGCGAAGCAATCAGCGAACGTCGCCTCGTCGAAGCAGGAGAAGCCGTAGTTGCCGTTCGTGCGGGCGTGGCACGTGTCGAACTGTGTCGGGCCGTTCGTGGCGAACCCGTCGACCTGGCAGAAACTCGCGGAGCACGATCGCACGACGCCGCCGTCGCCCGTGATGAACCCGTAGAGCACGCCCGTCGCCATGCAGCGCTCGATCGACGTGTCCGAGCCCGCCCGGAACCCCGTGACCGGCGCGCCGAGCGCCTGGCAATCGACCACCGTCCCGCAGCAGGCCACCTCGAAGCACGCCGCGTCGCTGCCCGGGCTCGTGCCCGCGCTGCCGACGGCGCACCCCTGGATGCGCCCCGTGCTCACGCGCACGCCGAAGCCGCCGACGGCCGAGACCGAGCAGCCCACAACGGTCCCCCCGCCGGAGATACTGATCCCGTCGTCCTGCGCCCCGTTGACGACGCACCGCGTGGCGGCGCTCGAATGCCCGAGGAGCACCGCCGAGCCGCCCGCGCCGGCGATCTCGATGTCCTCGACCGTCACGTTCGCGACGGCCGGAAGGTTGATCGCGGTGCCGCCGCCGCCCCGGAACGCGCCGTTACGGACCGTCACGTCTCGCGCCGTCGGCACGCTCGCGAAGATGCCCGAGGTCGTCGCCATTCCGAGGTCCACCACATGCCCGCGGAGGTCGATCTCGACGCCTGAGGACGCGATCTCGAGCCACGCGCCGGGGAGTTCGGCGACAGAATTCCCCGTGAGGTGGTAGCGCCCGCTCTGGGTGATGCGGAACATGGAATCCGCGTCGCCCGGCGTGGTGTCCGCGTTGATCGGGGTGGACGGCTCGATCTCGTCGAGCGTCTTCATCGTCGGCGCGACGGGCCCCGGCGGCGGGTTCAGGTCGCCGGCGGTGACAACGGACGCACAGCACGCAACGCACGCGAGAACGGTTCGGATCTGCATGGTCTTCGCTCCGGGGACGGGTGATGTGCCTGTATCGGGCGTGCGCGGCGGCCACCCGAATGTGGCCCCGTTGTTCATGGGAGATCGGGGGGATCGCGGGAGATAATCGGGGATTCGGACGCGGGCTATCGGACGGGTGGTCGCGGGCCCGTTGGTCGCGCGATTCATCCGGCATCGAATTAGAATCCGGCCACTCCCTGGTGGTGCTCAAACGCAGAGCACAGGCCGATGTTTCGTCGGCCGGATCCGATTGGATCTTCTGACACCGCGATGCGGGAATCGCATTCCCGGCAGGGACCGCCCCGGCGCCGCTCACCCGGCGGCGGGCGCTTTCATGGGTTTTCTCTCCAAAGTCTTCGGCGAAAAGGGGCGCACGCTCGACGAGCTGGCCGAGCGGCTCGGCGTGAGTGCGCTCGATCTCGAGACGGTGTCGCCGCGGTACCGGACGTTCGCGGTCCCGAAGCGCTCCGGCGGCTCGCGCACGATCGAGGCGCCCGACGACGAGCTCAAGGCGCTGCAGCGGGCGATCAACAGGCGGCTTCTGGCACGCCTGACGACGCACACGTGCTGCGTGGGGTTCGAGCGTGGCCTGAGCATCGTGCACAACGCGAACGCGCACCGTCGTCGGGCGGTGGTCGTCCGGATGGACATCCGGGATTTCTTCCCGAGCACGACGGAGCAGCGCGTGCACCGGTTCTTCCTCGACCTCGGGTGGTCGAAGAAGGCCGCGGGGGTGCTGACGCGGCTCACGACGCACCGCGGCGCACTGCCGCAGGGCGCGCCGACGAGCCCGCGCCTGGCGAACCTCGTGAACTACACGCTCGACGCCCGCCTCAACGGCCTGGCGTGCCGCTTCGGCGCGGTGTACACGCGCTACGCGGACGACCTCACCTTCTCGCTCGACACCGAGAGCGACGACGTGATGCGCGCCCTCGCGTACACCACGCGGAAGATCCTCATGGACTTCGGGTACTTCGCCCACTGGCGGCGGAAGCGCCACGTCCGCCGGCGCACGCACCAGCAGCAGCGCGTGTGCGGGCTCGTGGTGAACGAGCGGGTCGGCCTGCCGCGCGACGTGCGCCGGCGTCTCCGCGCGATCGAGCACCGCATCGAGACGGGGCGCACCGACGCCACGCTCACCCGCGAGCAGCTCGCGGGGTGGAAGGCGCTGCTCGCGATGATCGAATCGCAGCGCGAGGCGTGAGGCGCATCAGTCCCGGCGGATGTTGTCCCACGGCAGCGCGGTGTCGGGGGAGACGCGCGGGGCGCGGAAGAAGTTGCCCGAGGCGACGTCGAACGTCTCGGTGATGCCGCCCGTCGACGCGTTGCGCGCGATGAAGTTGTTCGACCCCGTGACCAGGACGCCCCTGCTCGAATACCCGAAGATGAGGTTCTCGTCGATCAGGCTGTCCGAGCCCGCGACGAAGATCCCCACGACGCTCCCTTGGCAGGAATTCCCCCGGATCAGGCAGCCGTCCGACGCGTCGATGCCGTTGACCGTGTTGTTCGAGACGGCGCACTCCACCGCGTTGGATTCGTCCAGGCGGATGCCGTGGCGGGAGTTGTTCCGCGAGGAGCACCGCGTGGCGACGGCGCCGCCGAAGAGGGAGATGCCGTCGTTGCCGTTGCCGTCGGCGGTGCAGTCGGTGAGCATGCCGGACTCGCCGATCGCGAAGCCATCGCCGCCGTTGCCGCTCGCGCCGCAGTCCGTCACGCGGCAGTTGAAGGTGCCGTTGAAGCCGTTGAGCGTGTTCTCCCGCGCGACGCAGCCGCTCGCCGTCGCGCCCGTCGCGAGGGCGAACCCGATGCCGAAGTTGTTCCGCGCGACGCACGAGCGGGCGATGCCCGCCTCGGCGATCGAGAAGCCCGTCTGCGAACAGAAGTTGGCGTTGCAGTCCGTGTAGGTGCAGCTGCCGGAGCCGCTCACGAAGCCGTTGCGCGTCGCCGTCGCGACGCAACCGCGGAGGACGACGTCCGAGTCCGTCACGAAGCCGTCGCCCGACGAGCCCGTCGCGGCGCAGTCGGTGATCGTCCCGCAGCACACCAGCTCGAAGCAGGGGAGCGACGGGCCGGCGCTGGCGACGCTCGTCCGAAGGATGCGGCCCGTGCTCACGCGGACGCCGCGTCCGTCGACGTTCGAGACCTCGCAGTCGACCACCTCGCCCGAGCCGCCGGTGAGGATGCCGTCGCCGCCCGCGCCCTCGACGATCACGCTCTGCACGCGCGCGTTGGCGACCTGGGAGAGGTCCACCGCGGTGCCGCCGCCGCCGATGAAGCGGCCGTTGCGGATCGTCACGTCGGTCGCGGTGGCGAGGCTGCTGAAGACGCCCGCGGTCGAGGACGCGCCGAGCTGCACGCGGTAGCCGCGGAGGTCGATCTCGATCCCCGAGCCCGCGATCTCGATCCCGCCCTCCGCGAGGACGACGAGCACGTTGCCGGTCAGGTGGTACCGGCCCGAGTTCGTGATCCGGAAGAGCGAGTCCGCGTCGCCCGGCGTGTTCTCCTGGTTGATCGGGATGGACGTCTCGATCTCGTCGAGCGCGAGCATCGTCGGCGCGACGGGGCCCGGGGGCGGGTTGAGGTCGCCGGCCAGGGCGGTCGAGGCGCACAGGCACAGCGCGAGCGGCAGCACGGATTTCAGCATCTGGGTCTTTCTCCTCGGAATCGGGTGTGGTCTCAAAGACTACAATTCCGATCCCCCGTGCCAAGTGTTTTCCGGCGATTCATCGTCAATTTGGGGGGGGCGTCCCTTCAGCTCTCGATCGCCAGCGCCCCGCTCAGCCCCGCCACCGACGCCGACGCACGCAGGTGCTGACCCGCCACGACGCGCACGGAGATGCCCGCCCGGTTCGCCTCGCGGCACGTGAGCACGACGGTCGGGAGCAGCCGATAACTCGCAGCGTCGTCCACCCCGGTGACATCGAGGACGATCGAGCGCAGGCTCGCCTTCTTGGCGTCGAAGACCACGCTGGGGATGGAGGCGATCGTCTCGCCGACGCGACCGACGCGGTCGCCCGCGACAACGCGCACGTACAGCACGCCGCCGGCTTCGCGCTCGATGATCGTCTCTCTCGGCCTGTGCATACATGAACTCTACCCCACGGGTGGGGAAAGTCCATGACGATCGCGTGACGATCCGGGGTGATTCTCGGACGGTTCAGCACGAGAAGTTCTCCCGCGCATCCGCCCCCGCGGGTTTTGAGCGATCAGAAATCGAGGTTATCCCACGGCCCCGCGGTCGTGAGCGACGTCCGGAGCGTCCCGATCCGGTTGCTCCCGCCGCCGTTGTTCTGGAACTCGCCGTCGTCGTTGTTGTTCGCGCGGCACCGCGCGATCATGTTGCTCGAACCCTCGACGAGGAAGCCGTACCCGAGCCCGCCGAAGCCGTTCTGACGCGCGACGCAGTCGGTCAGCGTCGACACGCTCGCGAGGCGGAACCCGCTCGTGTCGTTGTTGTTCGCGGAACACCCCGAGACGGTCGCCCCGCTCACGTTGAACCCGTGGCCCGAGTTGTTGCTCGCGCTGCTCGACTCGGTCACGTCGCCGCTCCCCAGGACGAACCCGTCGCCGCCGTTGCTCCGCGCGGTGCAGCCCGTGACCGTGCTCGAGCCGCCCGTGTCGATCCCGCTGAGCGTGTTGCCCACGGCCGTGCACCCGCGGAACGAGTCGCCGCCCGCGCCGCCGAAGCCGCCGCCGCCGTTGCTGTTCGCGTGGCACTCGGAATACGCCGCGCCCGAGGAGAACGAGTTGAACCCGTCGTCGGTGTTGCTCACCGCGACGCACCCGGTCACGGCGCACGCGCTCACGGAGAAGCCACGCCGCCCGTTGCCCGTCGAGGTGCACCCCGAGACCGTGCTCGCGAAACCCGCCAGGAACCCGTCGCGTCCGTTGAGCCGCGCGGCGCAGCCGATCAGCACGGTGTGCACGTTCCCCTGGAACCCGTCGACCCCGTTCTCGTACGCCGAGCACCCGTGCGCCGAGTCCCCGTCGCGGAACGCGAAGCCGCTCTGCCCGTTCGAAACCGCCTGGCAGTTCACGAAGGTGTTCCCGCCCGTCTCGGACAGGAAGCCCGAGAGCGTGCACGAGGACGCGCGGCACGATTCGACCAGCGAGCCGCTGTCGAGGAACACACCCGTCCCGCACCCCGTGAGGTTCAGGCCTCGGAGCGTGACCTCGGCGCCGGCCTCCGCGTTGACGCCCTCGTTCAGAACGCCGGAGATGTTCCCGTCGTGGATCGTCACGCCCTGCGAGCCGGCGGACACCTCCACACCGATCAGCGACGTCGTCACCTCCGTCGCGCCCAAAATCGTGAACCCGCGCAGGTCGAGCGTCACGTTGTCCGACACGATCCGGATCATGAACGGCTGGTTCAGCGCCGTCGGGAAGACGTTCTCCGCCAGGAAGTACGACCCCTCGTCTGCGATCGTCAGAGGCAGGTCCGCCTGCGTGATCGGCGTCCGCGGCTCAACCGTGTCCAGCGTCAGCATCGTCGGCGCGACCGGGCCGGGCGGCGGGGTGAGGTCACCAGCCTTCGACACGCCGCACACCATCGACACACCGATACCGATCCAGATCAACTGCGTCCGCATCGCGCTCTCTCCTTCGTGAGGGGGGGGGGTGGATAATTCGTGAATATCGATACAGGAAGAACCTACCATTCGGCGGTCCGAAAACGAAGCGTTTTCAGGTGGCTTCCGACGCGTTTCTGGACACGGGGGGCGGCTTTCTTGCGCTCGAAGAAGTATATTTTTGCTTGATTAGCGAATATTCCGGGCCATAGTTCTTCAATTCACCCGGCGCGATCGGAGCGCCTGGCAGAGGAAGAAATCACGTCGCCGGGCCTGAAAGGGCCCGACCGGCCACAATCGGAAGAGGGAAGAACCCATGCTCACACGCACCGCCGTCGCCGCGGGCGTGGCCGTCGTCGCCGCCGCGACCACCGCCAACGCCGGCTTCATCTACACCCAGCTCAACTCCGACGCGGAGTTTCTCGCGCTCGGCTTCGACTCCACGTTCGAGGCCCAGGGCCGCATCGGCAACAACGCCAACAACGGCGATCAGGAGTTCGACATCGGCCCCACCACCGCCGCCCCCACGGAGACCGCGCAGTACGCCTGGACCTCGGGCCAGACCGTGCCCTTCTCACTCACGTACGACGTGATGACGCGTGACGTCACCTTCGAAACCCCCGCCGGCACGCTCAGCTACGTCTCGTCCGGCCCGCCCACCTACGGTCTCGCCCTCCGCACCCGCGCCGAAAACGGCACGGTGAGCCTGGACAACCTCAAGGTCAACGGCACGACTATTTTCGTCGGTGTCCAATCCTCGGGCGGCCCGGCGGACGTCGACTACCTCATCATCAACGAGGGAACCGGCTCGCTCACGTCCTTCACGCTCACGGGCGAAGCGACCTTTACCTTCGACGCGCTCGACACCCCGAGTGGCTCGCGTCTCGCCTTCCAGATCAAGGGCATCGTCCCGGCTCCCGGCGTGGCCTCGCTCGCAGGCGTCGCCGGGCTCGCCGCCCTCCGCCGCCGCCGCTGATCCGACCCGCGCGATCGGCACCGCTCCAGAAAACAGAAACACGCACGCCCCGGAGGAGAGCGTGCGTGTTTTCGTTTTTGACCTGTTCGAACCCGCTCACACGCCGCGTCGGCGTCGCAGCACCGCGAGACCCGCGAGGCCCATCAGCGCCGCGCTCCCGTTGCCCGGGATCTCCACGTACGTCACCGAGATCTCGTAGTCGTACCCCTCGGGCAGGAAGCCGCCCGCGTTGTTCACCACGAACACCGAGTACACCTGCGGGGCGCCCAGCTCGGGCGTCGTGAACTCGATCCGCGGGTCGCCGAAGTACGGGCCCGGCCCGAACGGGTTCGGGTCGATGTCGTCGGAGAACCCGCCGGCGAACGTCTGCAGCGCGCCGTGCTGGCCCAGGCTCGGGAACGAATCCAGGGGCAGGCCCGTCGCGTCGCCGATGTAGACGGCCGCGGCGGCGTCGAACTCGTTGACGAGGCGCGTGACGTCGACCGTCACCTCGCTCTGCGTGTCGACCGTGAAGGTCCAGAGCTCCCAGAAGTTCGGGTTGGCGAAGCCGCCGCCGGTCATCGGGTTCGCCGGGTTGGCGTCCACGTGACCGACGTGGACCGACTGGTCGCTCAGGTCGCCCGAGCTGACAAACACCGCGCCGGCGCTGGACGCGACGCTCCCCGCACTCAACACCACGATCGCTCCGCGCACCATCGCGCACCTCCTTGCGTGTTCGACCGGCGGCGCCGGCACGGCCCGCGCACCTCGCGCGGATCCTGCGCCCGACGTTCCGTCACGCGAACAGACGCAATCTCGGTGCCACCCGCTACTCCGCCCCCAGGCGCACGACGAGCACCGCCGAATCGCCGTCCACCGCCCGCGCTTCGTCCGCCAGGGCGTGCGCGGCGAGGTCGTCCGGCGCGATCGCGAAGAGCGTCGACCCGCTCCCCGTGACGCGGAACGGCTCGCCCGTGGCATCACGCAACGATTCGATCAGCTCGCCCAGACGGGGCTCGACGCGCACCGCGGGCGCTTCGAGGTCGTTAAAGAGGTCCGCCCCGTGCGCCGCCCCCGCTTCCGCGAGCGCCCGCACGTCGTCCGCGCGGAAGGTCTCGGGCGGCTCCTCGTCGAACGCGCCGTACACGCGCCCCGTCGCGCAGCCGAACCCCGGCGCGACGAGCACCGCCCATCCGTCGGGCGTCGGCGCCGCGCTCACCGCCTCGCCCAGGTTCTCGATCACGCACGAGCCGCCACGCAGGAAGTACGGCACGTCCGAGCCGAGCGAGATCGCGATGCCCGAGAGCGTCTCGTCGTCGACCTCCAGCCCGAACAGCTCGCGGAGCCCGAGCAGCATGGAGGCCGCGTCGCTCGAGCCGCCCCCGAGCCCGCCGCCGACGGGGATCCGCTTCTCGAGCTTGAGCTGCACGGGCAGCTCACGCCCGACGGTTTCCTGCAGCGCCAGGTGCGCGCGCACCGCGAGGTCCTTCGTGATGGACCAGTCGATCGGGCTCGTCCGCGCCGCGTCGGGGTGCCACAGGATCGCGTAGCGCGACAGGCTCCCTTCGTCCAGGCGCGTGAGCAGCAGCTCGTCCGCGAGCGCGATGGGCGCCATCCACGAGGCGATCGGGTGGTACCCCGCGTAGGCGTGATCATCGGGCAGCGCCCGGTCAACGGCGAGCGCCAGATTCAGCTTCCCCGGCGCCCGCTTATGCACGATTCTCGGTAAATCCGCGTCGGTCATGACGCGGGATCATACCCCGCGCTCACCCCTCATACCGCCCCCGGATCGCCCGTACGTCGCGATCACCTCCACGATCGCTCCCGCCCCCTCGATCACGATCGACTCATCCCCCGACCGCACCTCCAGCCGCACCACCCGCTCATCCGGCGGCGCGGGGATCCGGAGTTCCTTCGCGAGCGTCTCCGCCTTCATCTTCCTGTTGTCCGTCGTCTCCATCGCTCCCCCCTTTCACTCACCAACGCCCGACGCCGACTCGGCGACCTCGATGAAATCCGACAGCGCCACCTCGTTCCCCTTGTTCACGAGCGTCGCGTAGCTGCCGAAGCCGAGGGACATCGCGATCGCCTCCCGCGCCTCACCCCACGCCATCACCTCGCCGTCAACGCTCACACTCGACCCCGCCAGCTCGCGACCCAGCTCGCCGATGCGTTTCACGAACGCCGCCCGCGTGCCGGTGACGACGGCCGCGGTCGAGGCGTCGCGCGCCATCAGCGCGACCGCCGCGCCGGAGCGGACCGCGAGGTCCCCGACCGCGAGTCGCTGGTACGTCTCGACGCGTCCGCCCGGGCCGCGCCCCGCGCCGCCGACCTGGATCTCGCCGATGACGTTCGCCGTCTTCTCCGCGCCGGCGGACGCGTGGGACTCCGTCCCCGCGGACTCGTCGTACGCGATCGTCTTGTCCGTCGGCACGAGGAAGAGCTCGTGGCGCGCAAACCCCGCGTTGAGCTCGTATGCCCCCGTCGTCGCCGACTGCCCGATCGACACGCCCACCATCGTCCCCGTGTTCGCGAAGACCGTCTCGCGCAACAGCCGATCCGAGCACCCGCCCATCGCCACCGCGCACGCCGCCACACCCATCCCGATTCGTCTCATCGTTCGTCTCCTTGGCTGAACTCGATCACTTCCACCAGCGCCTGCGCCTCCGTCGGCACCGACACCGCCCGGCGTTCCGCGACGCCGACCATCACTCCCCGAAACCCGCACACCTCGCCGACGAGCACGCCGCCCGCGCCCTCGCGCGTCACCGTGACGCCTTCGCCGATCGTCGCCGTCTCCACGACACCCACGCCGAGAACCAGTGATTTCCGGACACCGCCCTCCGTCCACGAGCACCCCGCGCCCGCGCACGCCGTCAACCCGATCCCCACCGCCCTCGCCACAGTCCGCCCCATCACCGCGACTCTACCCCGACGCGGGCGCGCGACAACAACGAACCTTCCGATTCGCGTCACATCGCGATTGTTGCGCAGAACCGCGAACTTACCCCTGCGCGGCCAGCTTCGCGTAGCGCGCCAGCGCCATCATCGGGAAGTAGTGCCGGTACAGGTGGTAGCGGATGTAGAACACCTTGGGGAAGCCCGTACCCGTGAACTCCGCCTCGCGCCACGAGCCGGCGGGCTCGTCGATCGGGTGGACCGGGTACTCCGCGGGCGTGTCCTCGGTGAGCTGCTCGCGCACCAGGTACTCGATCGCCCGCTCGACGCCCGCGTCCTTCGCGCCGAGAAGGTTCATGAGCGTGATCACCGCCCACGCCGTCTGCGAGGGCGTCGATGGCCCGCGGCCCATGAGCGACTCGTCGAGGTACGAGTTCGCCGACTCGCCGAAGCCGCCGTCCTCGTTCTGGATCGAGCGGAGCCACTCGAGCGTCTTCTTGAGGTACGGCTGGGACGTGTCCTCGCCGGCCGCGGCGAGGCCGCCAACGGCCTGCCACGTCCCGTAGATGAAGTTCACGCCCCACCGCCCCCACCAGCACCCCTCGGGGCGCTGCTCGTTGCGGAGGTAGTCCAGCGCTTTGCGCACGGACTCATGATTCGGCGTGAGGCCGTTGGTGATGAGCGACTCGATCGTCCGCCCCGTGATGTCCGCGCAGCTCGGGTCCTGCATGGCGTTGTGGTCCGCGAAGGGGACGCACTCCATCCACGGGCGGTCGGTCGTGCGGTCGAACGCCGCCCAGCCGCCGTCGTCGTTCTGCATCGCCAGGATCCAGCGCAGCCCGCGCTCCGCGGCGCGGCTCACGCGCCGGGCGGTGGGCGTGTCCCCCGCGCCGATCGTCGCGCGCTTCAGCGCCATGAGCACCATCGCCGAGTCGTCCACGTCCGGGTACCAGTCGTTCTGGTACTCGAACGCCCAGGCCGCGGCGTTGCCGCCCGGGCCGACGGAGATGTTCTTATGCTCAGGTCGCAGGTTGTTGTGCCAGTCCGCGTTGATCTTCACCTCGCGGTCCATGAGCCAGGCGCAGGTGTTGGCGATGCGCGGATCGTTCGTGACGTTGAGCCCCGCCTCCGTGATCGCGTACAGCGCCGTGCCGGTGTCCCAGACGGGACTGAAGCACGGCTGGATGCGGGCGTGGTCCTCTTTCTCCACGAAGAAGCGGTCCAGCTCCTTCTCCGCGAGTTGAATGACCGGGTGCGTGCGCTCGTAGCCCAGCGCCTTGAACGCGACCTGGATGTAGACCATCGGCGGGAAGATCGCGCCGAGCCCGTCCGTCGTGTCGCCGCTCAGGCGCTCGAGGAGCCACGATTCGGCGCGCTTCAGCGACGCGCTGCGCATGGGCGTGATCTTGAGGTCCTGCAGCTTCTTCAGCGCGGAATCGATCGTCAGAAAAATGTTGGTCCAGTGCGCCGGGTCGTTCGGCACGCGCTCCTGGTTGAGCCGGTCGCGGTTCGCCTGGTCGACGAACAGCTCGCCGATGCCGCGGTTCGACGGCAGCCGACGCGTCGGGCGGGTCGCGCTGCAGATGGCGAGGGGGAGGATCATCGTCCGCGTCCACGCGCTCACCTTGTCCAAGTGGAAGGGCGACCAGCGCGGGAGGAACACCACCTCCGGCGGGATGCAGGGCACGGCGTTCCACGTCACCTGCCCGAGGCACGCGAGGTAGAACATCGAGAACGTGTTAATCTTCTCCGCGCCGCCCAGCCCGAGGATCGCCTCCCGCGCGCGCGCCATGTGCGGCGCGTCGCGGTCGTCGCCGAAGAGCTTGAGCGCGAAATACGCCTTCACCGTCGCGCTGATGTCCGGCGGCGAGCCGGGGTACTGGCCCCACGTCCCGTCGGCGCGCTGGTGGATGCGCATGTGCTCGCAGAGCTTCGCGAAGCGGCGCAAATCCGTCTCACTCGCCTCCGGCGCCTCGTCCTGCGCGAGGATCACCTTCATGAGCAGGTACTCGGAGGAGAGGATCGAATCCCCCTCGAATTCCGCGATCCAGTGGCCGTCCTCGTGCTGCTTGCGGAACAGCGCGTCGACGGCCTTTCCGAGCGATTCGCTCACGCGCTCGATCAATTCGGGCGTCTGAGCCTGTTTCTCGGCGTCTTTGTTGCGAATGTGACGGAATTCCGTGCCCGAGAGCGTCGTTGTCATTGGGGCGTCCTGCGTGCGGGTGAATCGAACACGCCATGGTACCCGCAACCCGCACGCCGGCCACGCCTAGGATTTCTTGACCATGTCCCACGAATCAATCGCCGCCGATTACGTCTGCCTCAGCGCCCACTCGACGCACGTCGAGCCCATGATGGCCGCGGAGGCCGTGGCGGAGAACATCGGCGGCGACCTCGACGACGTGGACCTGCTGCTCGTCTTCGCCTGCGGGCGTCACGCGCACTCGACGGGCGAGATCTCCTCGTTCCTGCGCCGCGAGCTCGACCCCGGCGTCTCGCTCTGCGTCACGGGCGAGGGCGTCCTCGCGGACACCTTCGAGATCGAGGCCCAGGGCGCCGTCTGCGCGCTGGCGCTCTCCCTCCCGGGCACCCAGCTGCACCCGTTCCGCTACCAGGACCTCCACGCCGACGCCTCGCTCTCGGAGATCGACGCCGCTCGACGGGCCATCCGCCACAACGCCGATCTCCGCGCCCTGCTCTTCTTCGCCGACCCCTTCTCCGTGCCCGCGTCGAGCGTCGTGCGGACGCTCTCGTCCGCGGCACGCGTCGAAACCGGCCCGTGCGAGACGCGCCACCGCCCCCTCATCGGGGGCATGGCCAGCGCCTCCAGCGCCCCGGGCGGGAACATCATCACGCTCAACGACGAGGTCATGCGCGCCGGCGGCGCCGGCGTCGCCATCTCGGGCGACATCCGCGTCGACACCATCGTCTCGCAGGGCTGCCGCCCCATCGGCCAGGCCCACGTCATCACCGAGGGCGAGCGGAACCTGATCCGCAAGCTCGGCGGCCGACCGGCGATGGACGTGCTCCGCGAGACCGTCGAGGCCTCGTCGCGCCGCGAGCGTGAGCTGCTCGAGAACGGGCTGCTCATCGGGCGCGTCGTCAACGAGTACCGCGACCGCTTCGGGCGAGGCGACTTCCTCGTCCGGGGCATCATGGGCCTCGACCCCGCCTCCGGCGCCGTCGCCATCGGCGATTCCGTCCGCGTCGGGCAGACCGTGCAGTTCCATATCCGCGACGAGGAGACCGCCAGCGAGGACCTGGGCCTCCTGCTCGATGCCGAGCAGGTCCGCGACCCCGCCCTGGGCGTCCTCGCGGTCTCGTGCAACGGTCGAGGCTCGCGCCTCTTCGATTCGCCCAACCACGACGCCTCCCTGCTCAGCACTCGCGTCCCGCACATCGAGCCCCTCCGGCACACGCCCCTCGCGGGGATTTTCGCGGCCGGCGAGTTCGGGCCGATCGGGGGCGAGAGCTTCGTGCACGGGCACACGGCGTGCGCCGCGGTCTTCCGCCGGCCCTGAACGCCCCCGAATCCCCCGAAAAACACGGCGGCCGCCCCTCCGGATGACCGATAACACGGGGGTATGCGTTCGCTCGCTCGATCGCTGTCCCTCGCCCTGGCGCTGGCGTGCTCGCCGGCCGCCGACGCCCAGATCACGCGCCCGGACGGCTCGTCGCGGGTGGTGCGCGCGTGGGACTTCGAGCCGATCGGCGGCGTGCTGGTGCCGGTGCCCGAGCACTGGTTCCGCGCGCACGAGACCCGAGATGCCCCGCGCCCCGGCTTCCCGCCCTGGAACGAGCCGGCGCTCGTCGACGGCGGCGGCGTCGACGGGGGTTGGGCCGTGAAGATCCCCACCGACGGCGGCAGCGCCTCGCTCACGCTCGCGCGCGGCGTCGTGCCCGTCTTCGCGGACACGGACTACGCGGTCATCGCCTCCGTCCGCACCGAATCGCTGAGCGTCGCGGGCGCGGTCGTCATCGCGCGGCTCGTCGACGGCGAGCTCAACCCCATCCCCGGCGCGGAGGTCCGCTCGGGCGTCATCCGCACGAAAGAGGGCGAGTGGCGCAACGTCCACCTCCAGCTCCGGGGCCACGACGACGCGCAGTCCGTCCAGCTCGAGCTCCAGCTGCTCCAGCCCTCGTCCGTCCCCGGGTTCCGGCGCGCCAAGTTCGAGGCCGTCCCGCAGGACCTCGACGGCGCGGTCTGGATCGACAACCTCACCGTCTACCAGACGCCTCGGATCGACCTGCGCCTCGCGGGCCGTGGCAACATCATCGTCGAGCCGACGGCGCCGGAGCTGACCATGAGCGTCCGCGACCTCGCGGGCGAGGCGCTGTCCATCGAGACCATCGTGTACGACTACACGGGCCGCACGGTCGCGGTGGACACGCGCGCCGCCGCCCGGGGCGGGCAGGAGATGGCGTGGACGCCCGGCATCGAGCGGTTCGGCTGGTACCGGGCGGTGATGGAGGTGCGCAACGATCAGGGCCTGATCGGGCGGTCGTACCGCGATTTCGTGTGGCTGCCCGCGCCGGACCCGCGCCGCGCGGAGTTCGCCACGGAGCCCGCGGACCGTGTCGGCTTCGGCGTCTCGCTGCCGGAGCGCCCCGAGGCGCACACGCTCGACGTCGGCGACGAGCACCGCTACCTGCTGCCCGACCTGCTCGAGGAGCTGCACACCGGCTCGATCGCGATGCCCGCGTGGGACGACGCCGGCTCGCCCGTGACGCGCGAGTTCACGCTCATGGTCGAGACGCTGCTCGAGGGCGGGCACGACGTCTCGTTCATCCTCGACGAGCTGCCCGTATCCGTCGCGGGCGTCGAGCGGGTCGACCGCTCCAACCTGCTCACCGTGCTGGGCGAGGACTCCACGAGCTGGGTCGCCGCGATCGAGCAGATCCTCTCCCGCTTCGGCGAGCGGGCGCAGACGTGGCAGATCGGCGCCGAGGGCTCGAGCGACCCGTTCTTCCGCGACAACATGGCCGAGATCGTCGCGAAGGTCCGCTCGACGATCACCGGCATGGTGCCCGACCCGCGCATCCGACTGCCGTGGCGCGCCGAGCAGCCCGACGACGGCGCGCACGGCGCCGACTCGCGCTCGCTCTACCTCCCGCCGAGCCTCCGCGCCGAGGCGATCGAGATGCTCGCGCCGAGCTGGGCGCCGGGGGGCGAGCGGGGCGGGACCTCCGTGCTCCTCGGGCTGCCCGAGCTGGACCGCTTCTCCCCGCGCGACCGGGTCATCGAGCTCGTCCGGCGCGTGACCCTCGCCCGCGCGAGCGGCGCGGAGAGGATCGTCATCCGCGCCCCGTGGGTCGACCAGGCCTACGCCGGCCGGTCGGGCCAGACCGAAGGCGGCTCGGGCGAGCTCATGCCGACGCCGGAGTTCGCCGCGATGCGCCTGCTCGCCGACGCGCTCGCGAAGCGCGAGATCGTGGGCGAGCTCAAGGAGATCAACGGCGCGCGCGTCTTCATCGCCCAGGGCGAGTCGACCTCCATGCTCATCGCGTGGCGCGACCTCGCGGACCCGATGGACGCCGTCCTCACCGGCTACCTGGGCGACGACAAGATCACCGTCCGCGACCCGTTCGGCAACGCGACGGAGTCCGTCGCGATCGACGACGAGCACCGCATCGGCCTGCGCGAGATGCCGGTGTACATCGAGGGCATCGACGTCGAGCTCGCCAAGTTCCGCGCGGGGCTGCGGATCGAGCCGAAATTCATCCAGTCCGAGGCGCGGCGGCACTACGTCGAGCTCGTCATGGAGAACCCGTGGGACGTCCCCGTCTCGGGGCGCATCCGCTTCAAGGAGCCCGAGGAGTGGAAGATCACGCCGCGGGTGCTCAACTTCCGCCTCGGCCCCAACATGACCGAACGCTACGAGCTGAGCCTGGCGCTGGGCGGCGCCGAAGAGGCCGGCCCGCGGAAGGTGCTCGCGGAGGTCGAGCTGCTCGCGCTGCGCGAGTACCCGATCTTCGAGGTGCCGATGCAGGTGGAGGTCGGCCTGGACGCCGTCTCGCTCCGTGTCAGCTACCGCTACGAGAACGACGAGGCGACGGGCAGGCCGGCGCACGTGATCGTCACCGCGGTCATCACCAACCTCTCGGACCAGCCCGTGACCCTCCGCTCGATGGTCATTGCGCCGGGCCAGCCGACGCAGCAGCGATCGATCTCCGGCCTCGCTCCGGAGCAGACGGTCGTGCGGACGTACCGCTTCGAGGACGCGGTCGACGCGCTCGCGGGGGAGACGATCCGGGTCGGCCTGCGCGAGCAGAACGGGCCGGGGCGGCTCAACCGGTCGTTGACGCTGCCAAATTAGTCGTAGTCCGGTTCGTCCTCATAGAGTTCGCCGTCGAGACGGAACAGGCTATCGCCGATGTTATCAACGCCCGGTTTTTTGATGAGCGCCGCGAGTTCGTTCGCCGCGTCGAGTCCTGTCTCGGCATTCCGCAGCACCCGTCCCGCCTCTTTGGCGTCATGTACTCGGAAGCCCTGCTGCACGACGAAGAATCGATCGATCTTTTCAGTCGCGGGGTCGAGGATGTAGACCACTGGTTGATACCACCACAACCGCGTATCAACAACAACGCGCGCGTCCCGAGGAATCGTATAGACGATTTCCTGAGTGACACGACCTCGCCGGACCCACTGCATTGTCATCGAATCGGGTGCCACGATCCATCGACGCGAGAGCGTCATATCACTAAAAAACAACACAATCCAGAGTGATGAAGCCAATCCCCCGAGTAGGAACCCGTCTGTAGGGATCCCCCACTTTCCTGTGCTCAAGAAATAGAGCATAAACACTGCGAAAGCAGTCAGCAGCATGGCAAATAATGTCTTGGGAAGCACGCGTGGCCATCTTGATCGCGTGACTTCGAACATCACGACGCCGGCGATGCCGATGCGCTTAGGATGTTCAGATTCTCCAGCGCCGTGCGCATCTGCGTCGCCGGGCACCCCTCGTGGTCGATCAGCACCCCGCGCCACCCGCGGGCGGTGCACGCCGCGATGTTCTCTTCCAGATCATCGAAGAAGACGATGCGCCCGCCCGCGAAGCCGGTGATCTGCTCCGCCAGCTCGTAGATCCGAGCCTCGGGCTTGGCGGCGCCCATCTCGTGGGAGACCATCTTGTGCGCAAGATGCCGCATGATGGGCAGACCGCTGAGCGCGCCGCCGTTGTAGAGCGTGCTGAGCTCCCAGTGGGCCGTGTTCGTGTTCGAGAGGCACGCGAGCGTCACCTCCTCGACGCTCGCCAGCTCGCCGACGAGTTCGGGGACGCCCTCGTACTCCTCGAGCAGCCACGCGTGGTGGAGGCGCTCGATCTCCTCGGGCGTGTAGAGCCCGGCCGTCGCCTCCGCGATGGACCGCCAGAACTCATCCGGCGTCAGCTCGCCGCGCTGGTGGGCGTGGTTCAGGTCGCGCCGGCGCGCCGAGAGCTCTGGCGTGTTCATCCGCTCCGGCTCGCGGACGTCCAGCCCCGCGCTCGCGCACCCCTGCTCCCACGTGCGGCAGTGCTTCACCACCACGCCGCCCAGGTCCAGGCACACGAGCCAGCCGTCGCCGTTCGACGCGCTCACGCCGTCACCACTTTCGTGTTCTTGGAGATCTCGCGGACGACGCTCGTCGCGTAGCCTCCCGGCGGCAGGTCGAACGCCAGGCGGATGAACGTGCCGTGCTCGTCCGCGCCGCCCTCGATCTCGGGGTCGCCCAGCCGCACGCGCACCGGCCGGCGCGCCCCCGGGAGGGTCAGACCGAATCGCTTGCACGCCGCGTCGAACTGCTCGGCGGTGATGCCCATCGCGCCGACCGCCTCGCGCTCGCGCGCCGATGCCGGGCTTCCCTCGCTCGGCCACAACGTCTTGCCCCCCACGAGCGGCCCGGTCGGGGAGACTTCGAGCCGCGCGGCCCGCTCGTTCGCCTCGGCCAGCGCGTCCGGCTCGACGACGAAGCACGCGCCGTTTTCCGTCCGCATCGCGACGTCTCCGGCTTCGAGCCTGTCGAAAAGCCCGCCCCGGAGGCGGTCCGCGAGCACGCGGTTGAAGATCGCGCTCTGCAGCGCACAGAGGAGGAAATCGATCTCCTTCTTCGGGAATGCGCCGAAGGCCTTCTCCGCGCTGAGGCCGCGGGCCATGGAGCGCAGGAGTCGGTTCTCCGTCATCATCCGGCGCGGGAGCGCGTCGATCGCCTTGTGCAGGTCGCCCGCGTCGAAGTGCGCGAGCGCGGCACGGACGGGGTCGTTCTCCGGCGCATCGGGTTCGGGCGCGAGCATCACCCGCACCGCGCCCTCCGCGTCGTTCTGCACGAGTTTCTGCGCCACGAGGTGGTTGTTGGCGCGGACGCCGAAGCGCTGCTCGCCGAAGTAGTTCGGCACGCCCTCGCGGGCGAGGCGGGCGACGGCCTTGTTCGCCTCGAGCACCCGGAGCGGCTCCACCTCGCGCAAACGCACGGAGAAGCGGTTCGCCCTGAGGTGCCCGACGCGGAGCTTGTTCGTGTGCATGTCCGCCCAGAGGACCGCGATGCCCTTGCGCCGGATCTCGGGGAAGTCCTCGGGCGTCTTGCCGGGGGTGTGGATCGAGAAGACCTGGCGCGTGATGGCGCGTTTGTCCTTGAGCCCGGCGTGCCCCACGTCACGCCGCTTGACGTTGAAGTGGCGCGCGAGGGTCTTGGCGACGTCGAGCGTCGTGAGCCCGCGCTTCTCGACGAAGAGGTAGACGTGCTCGCCCTCGCCGCAGGGCTCGTAGAGGGGGATCTCCTCGACGAGGAAGTCCTCCTCGCGCACCTTGAGCACGCCGCCGATGGGCGGGAGGTCGCCCGTGAGGTAGGGCGCGTCGGCCGTCTGCGTTTCGGTGTGCGTGCTCACAGCTCGGTCTGCGCCTGGTCGAGCACGTGCTCCGCGACGTAGATCGGCACGCCCTGCGCGATGCCCAGGGCGATCGCGTCCGACGGGCGCGAGTCCACCTCCAGCTCGACGCCGTTCGTGTCGCGGATGCCGAGCAGGGCGAAGAAGGTGTGGTCGGAGATGTCGTTGATCGTGATCTTCTCGAGCGTGCCGCCCATCTGCTCGATCACGCTGGCGAGCAAATCGTGCGTCTGCGGGCGCTTGATGTCGATGCCCTGGAGCCGGCGCTCGATCGCCTGGGCCTCGGGCAGACCGATCACGATCGGGAACGTGCGTTCCCCGTCGATCTCCCGCAACTCGATGATCTGGTAGTCGTTCATCTCACGGATGAGGATGCGCGACAGTTCCATCTGGATCGTCATCAACCAAGGCCTCCGAAACTCGCCCCGCGCCCCACACCCCTGAGCATAGCCCCGCCGGGCCCGCCGGGCCCGCCGGATGGGGAGCGGCCCCGCCGTCCCCGTCGCGTTGGCTAATCCGACACCATCCCCCTCGGGCGCGACCGCAGGTGCGACCGCACCATCGACGCCAGCTCCCGCTTGCCGAGCGGGCGCACGCCCTCGCGCCGGCGCATCGCCCCGAGGCGGTACACCCGCCGCCACTGCGCAAAGAGCACGGAGTAGCACCACGCGACGCTCCGCTCGGGGTCGTACATGTTCGTCGACTCGCTCAGGACGCCGTTGAGCTCGATCACGCAGAACCCCTCGCCCCGCTTGAGCGCCTCCTCGCTCTCGGCCCGGACGTCGAAGCGCCCGAAGTCGAGCCCGCCCCCGGTCTCCGGGTCGCGGAAGGCCTGCGCGATGCCCGTGAACGCCCGCGTCAGCGCCTCCGTCCGCAGCTCGGACGCGTCCTCGAACCGCGCCCCCTGCGCGTGGTTGCCCGCCGAGCCGAGCGCGAAGGCCTCGCCCTCGGGGAGGATCATGTCCGTCCGGTCGTCGAAGCGGCGGAGGAAGACCTCCGCCTGGCAGCGGTAGCGCGGGTGGTGCCAGATGAGCTCCTCGAGCGTGGACTCCCCGTCGCCGGTGATCACCGGGAAGACCTTGCGCGTGATCGAGAAGATCTCGCCCGGGCACTCGTCCGCCTTCGTCGCGCCGCTCGCGCTGGGCACGCGGGACCAGAGGATCCCCACCTCCACCGGCCCGGGGTGGTAGCGCTGGATCTGCACGTCGCCGCCGATCTCCTCGAAGTAGGCGCGCACATCATCGTCGCTCTTCGCCACCCGGACGCCGTTGCCGCGTTCCGAGGCGTCCGGCTTGAGGACGACGGGGTAGCCGCCCAGCGCCCCGTCCTCGCGGATGATCGCGATCGCCCGCTCGGCACGCCCCCCGGAAGCCTCGGCCGTCCCGCGGTCCTCCACGAGCGCCGTCGGGGCGACGCTCGCCGCGTTCGAGAGCGCGCGGCAGATCGCGGTCTTGGACTCCCCCACCACGCCGCCGCCGCCGGCGATGCCGGGGTTGGCGCAGGTGAAGCTCATCGGCTTGTATCGGATCGCCATCACGACGAGCCAGGGCACGAGCGGGAGGTAGAAGAACCAGAAGGGCCAGAACTCGTGCGCGACGATCTTCTTGAGGTCCGCCTTGAGGCGCTGGCGGCCCAGGTCCGTCGTCTCGTAGCCGATGAGGCGGACGATCACGTACAGGATGAAGAGCGAGGCCAGGATCGCCCACGGGCCGTGCAGCACGCCCTCGAAGAACCCGAGCAGCGGGCGGCCGATGAGGATCGCGAGGGTGAGCAGGAGCGGCGTCCACACGCCGACGGCGAGGAGGACCCAGAAGAGAAACTTCTTCGTGTGGCGCCCGAGGATGCCGGCCGCGACGTACGTTGGCAGGCGCGTGCCGGGGAGGACGCGCGAGAGCATGATGGCCTTGCCCATGTGATCGTCGAGGACGCGCCCCCACTTCTCGATGGACTTCTGGCTCACCGCGCCGGAGATGAAGGGCCACTTGAGGATGCGCCGTCCCGCGAAGCGCCCGAGCGCCCAGAGGCCCAGGTCGCCCACCGCGATGCCCAGGAAGCACCCGGCGAGGCCGGTGCCGAAGGCGATCTCCTCGCTCGCGATGAGCACGCCCGTCGCGATGACGGTGAGGTCTTCGGAGACGAACGTCGCGAGCGCGATGAGCAGGACGAGCAGGGCGAACGAAGCGTGGTCCGGCAGGTGGAGGATCCCCTCCGTCTCGGCGACCGTCCCGGCGCCCGACATGACCGCGAGCCCCGCCGCCCCGAGCACACAGCCGAGCGCGACCCGTCTCACGCCCCCGCGCCCTCGCCCCGGGAGGCGCCGATCACCCCTTCGAGGATCTCGCGGTGGTTCGCCGCGCGGGGCGCCTTGTGCTGCCCGCCGAGCTTGCCGCTCGCCTCCATCCACCGGTGGAACGCGCCCATCGGCAGGACGGTGAGCGTCGGCTCGCTCATGCCGAGCGAATCCGTGCGTTTCGTCTTGTAGTCCACGTTGCGCTTTTTGAGCGATTCGTCGAACGCGTCCTTGAAGGCGATCTCGCCCGCGGGCATCGACTCGCACTCGATCGCCAGCTCGAGCCCGGCGCGGGTGGTCTCGCTCGGGTAGACGGGGGCCGCGGTGAACTCGCCGATGACCGCGCCGGTCGCCCTCTGGGCGTCGACCACGGCCTCCTCGATCTCCTCGACGATCAGGTTCTCGCCGAACGCGTTGATGAAGTGGCGGTGCCGCCCCACGATGCGGAGCCGCGCGGGGCCCGCGGGGGGGATCGTATCGAACTCCACCACGTCGCCGATGACGTACCGCCACAGGCCCGCGTTCGTGCTCATCACCACGACGTAGCGCTGCCCCGGCTCGACCTCGTCGCAGGTGAACGCCCGCGCACTGGGCGAGCCGATCTCCTCGACGGGCACGAACTCGAAGAAAATCCCGTTGTGCGTGAACAGGCGCAGGCCCTGATCGCCAGGCGTGTCCTGCAGGGCGATGAAGCCCTCGCTCGCGGGGTAGACCTCCAGGCGGTGCGGGATGTCCGCCTCGCCGCCGGACCACGCGTCGACGAACCGCTGCGCGAAGGGCGTGTACTTCACGCCGCCGTGGACGAAGAGGGTGAAGTCCGGCCAGATCTCGCGCATGGTGCGCGCCGCAGAGCCGCGCTCGCGGGCCATCTCGAGGATGCGCTGCATGAGCACGAGCGACCACGAGGCCATCCCCGAGACCATGCGCACGTCCTGCTCGATCGCGATCTCCGCCATGCGCTCGATCTTGGTCGGCCAGTGGTCCATCAGCGCCACGTCCGCGCCGGGGGAGTACACCTCGGTGAGGGGCCAGCGGATCATGGGGGTGACGAGGCCCGAGAGGTCGCCCGTGCGGACGCCGTGCTCGTTGACGCTCACGTTCGTCGAGCCGCCCAGGAAGAAGAGCCGCCCAGCGCAGAGTTTCTCGAGCGAGACGCCGGAGCGCATCGCGTGCGCGAAGATGTCCAGCGCGGCGAGGTAGTTGCTCCGCATCATCTCGTCGGAGACGGGGATGTACTTCTCGCCGCCGGTGGTGCCCGAGGTCTGCGCCCAGTTCTTCACGACGCCGGGCCAGGTCACGTCCGGCTCGCCGCCCTCGCGGGCCCGGGCGAGGCGGGCGCGGTCGCGCTCGTAGTCGCCGTGGGGGAGGGCGTCGGCGTAGGCGCGGCGGACGGTCTCGTCGTCTTTCTCGAGCAGCTTGGCGAAGCCGACCTCGCGCCCGATCTCCGTGTCCTTCGCCTTGCTCAGGAGCGATCGCAGGGTGGAGAGCTGGTGGTGGCGGGCGTTGTCCGCCCAGTGGTCGGCGTCCGAGAGCAGCTTCGTGCGCCGGTGGAGGCGCGCGTGCAGCGCGGCGCCGACGAGCGACGTCCACCGCGCCATCTCAGGCCACTCCGACGTTCGAGGTCGACCCGCCCGCGTCCTCCCCGTAGACCACGCCCGCGTCCAGGTCTTCGAGGAAGCCCACGACCGCGTCCGCGACCTTGTCCGGGCGCTCGATCTGCGGCGCGTGACCGCACTCGTCGATCCACACCAGCTTCGAGCTGGGGAGCAGCTCGTGGAACTGCTCCGCCACCTCCGGCGGCGTCACGTTGTCCTGCCTGCCCCAGGGGAGCACGACGGGGCATCGGATCTCGCCCAGACGCTCGCCGAGATGGTCGCGCTTCGCCGAGCGGCCCAGCTTCACCAGCGCGCGGGCCGCGCTGCGCTGGCTCAGCTTCTCGTACGCCGTGTCGACGAGCGACGGGATGCGGTGGAACTCCGGGTCGTGGAAGAGCCCGCGGATCTTGTTCTCGATCCAGCCCTTCGAGGGCGAGTGCTGCACGCCCTTCTCGAACGTGCGCTCGAAGAGGCCGGACGAGCCGATCAGCGCGAGCCCGCGCACCAGGTCCGGGCGCTCCAGCGCGATGCGCAGCGAGACGTGGCCCCCGAGCGAATTGCCCAGCAGCACCGCCGGCTGGTCCGTGATCGATTCGAGCACCGCGATGGTCAGGCGCGTCACGCCGTCCACCGAGCACCCCTTGCCCTTCATCTCCAGCAGCGGCGGCTGGATCAGGACGCACTCGGCGTGCTTCGCGATGGGGCCGAGGGAGGCGAACCAGTGCTCGTTCATCCCCAGCAGGCCGTTGAGGAACACGAGCGGCCGGCCCTTGCCGACGCGGTCGATGCGGATATCCAGGCCCGTCACGCGGTCCACGGCCGATTCGGCGCGGACCTGGTCCGCGTTGGGCGGGTTCGGTGCTTTGCTGGAATCCGGCACGTGAACGCTCCAGAGAGACCCCGGCCCTCCGCTCGCCCGGGACGATTCCGAGGCGACCGCGCGAAGGGTACCGGGAAATGGTCCCTTTCACTTCTATGTTAGTGATCGTTTGACTTGGATTCCACCAAATCCGGACTCACCCGCGGCGGACCGCCACCGTCGGGCCGTAGATCGCCCTCCTCGTGGCGAGATCCCGATCGAGGACGAAGACGAGGTACTCCGCGAGGAACCGCCCGGCGCGGCTGGTGGCCTGGGCGTCGGCCGCGGTCGCGTCGCCGTTGGCCGATCCGGAGCCGAGGATGTGCGCGAGGGTCGCCCGGCGGACGGGCCAGGCGCCGGGCGATTTCTCGGCGGTCGCGCGTCCCTCGCTCGGCAGGAACCAGGCCCGCCCGGGGCCGCCATCGGGCAGGTCGAGCTCGGGGCGTGAGCCGATCTCGGTGAGCAGGGCCCACTGGAAACGGAGGAGGATCTCGCCGGCGTCCGCGCCGGCCTCGATGCCGTCGAGCGAGCCGATCATCGCGTCGTAGAGGCCCTCGTGGGGGTCGTGATCCGTGATGGCGTGGTAGACGAGGTCGACGAGGTAGAGCCCCGCGCGGTGCGCCGGGAGCTCGCTGCGGGTGCGCCAGTAGACGGCGAGGAGGTCCCAGGCGGTGAGCGTGGCGAGGTCGGTGGACTGCTTGACGATCGCGACCATGCGCCCGCGCGTGAGGACCTCGACGCCCCCGGAGAACGCGCCCTTCTCGCGCTTGGCGCCCTTCGCCATCGCGCGGACGACGCCGTGCGCGCGCGTGAACAGCGCCACCGTCTGCGAGGTTTCGGAGTATTCCCAGTGCCGGAGGGCGATGGCGTCGTCCGTGATCGTGGGCACGGAGCGATCATACGCGCGTCAGATCGGGCTCGGAAGCCCGGGGGGCCGGGGGGGGGGGGGGGGGTCAGGCGGCGGCCTTGCGGACCTCGGCGATCGTCTGCTCGATCTGCTCGTCGGTCGCCTCGGCGAGGAGGAACCGCTCGCGGAACTCACTGACGCTGATGGAGCCGGGGTCGATCTGCTCGGAGCTGATGCGCGTGCCGGTCTCGTCGGAGAGGTAGACGGTGACGAGGTCGGCGCGGAGCGGGAGCACCTCGAGGGTGACGTTCCCGGCCTTGACGGGGCGGATGTCCTCCTCGGTTGGGCCCGTCGTGTCCGCCTCGATCCCGAGCTGGCCGTTGGCCGATTCGAGGATCTGCTCGACGGACATCTTGCGGTCGGTGACCTCGGCGAACATGTCCTTGGTGCCGTTGAAATCGTCGCGGGCCTTGGCGAGCATGTCGGCGAGCTGGTCGCTCGAGAGGTCGAAGTACGAGAGGGACATCGAGCGCAGGGGCGGCGTGTAGATCGACGCGGCTTCCTTATTCAGGATGAGCCCGCCGACGAAGAAGCTGATCGCGTGGAGGATGCCCTCGTGGGTGTCCTTCCAGTTGGACTTGGGCTTGCGGTGGTGGCGGGAGATGGGCGCCGCGAGCAGCTCGGGGAGCGCCCACATCTTGCACATCACCGTCACCACGTCGACGTGGGTGAACGGGAGGGTGTTGAACTCCTCGGCGTACTGCGCGGAGGGGTCGGCCTGGCGGTCGACGATCTCGTCCGCGGCGCTGCCGATGAGCTCGGGCAGGATGGGGATGCCGGCGTCGAGGAGGAGGCCCGCGACGAACGCCTCGCCGGCGATCGTGCGGTCGATGAGCTCCGCGAGGCGGAACGCGAGGCACGCGCGGTAGAGGGACTGCGTCCAGATGAACTTCTGGCGTTCGGCGCTGCCGAGCGCGCACGCCTGGCTCAGGTGGAAGCCCAGCGCGGTCGCCTTGAGGCGGTCGAGGCCGATGAGCACGCTGGCGCGCTCGATCGTGGTCACCTCCTTGCGCTGGCCGAACTGCGCGGAATTCGCCATGCGGAGGAGCCGGGCGCTGAGGGCCTGGTCGGTCTTGAGGACCTCGGCGAAGTCGCGCATCGCCGCGGTCGGGTCGGACATCATCTCGATGATGCGCACCGCGACGTGCGGGAGGGTCGGGAGGGAGGAGTCGCCGAGCTGGCGTGCGAGCTTCTCGTGGAGCTCCGTCACGTCGCGTGATGTCAGTTCGCTGCGCTTTTTCACGGAACCCGTCTCCGAACGCCTGTTTTCGCGGAAGATGACCGGTCCTCACCATCGGCGATTCGGGGGTCGGGTTTGACCGGGATCCCCCGGTTTTCGCGACCCGAGCGCCCGGGGGCCGCCGCGCAGATTCCGCGCCCGCTCTGCTACACTCACGCCGAGCTTGAACAAGGAGGTCCGAGCGTGACCGATCCAGGACGGACACCCAGCACACCCGCGCCAGACGGCGCGGGCCGCACAGACGACACGCCCCCGCCCCGCGCCGCGGTGACCCGGGTCATCGCGATGATGAACCAGAAGGGCGGCGTCGGGAAGACGACCACGACCGTCAACCTCGCCGACGGCGTCGCGCGGCTCGACCGGCGCGTGCTGCTCATCGATCTCGACCCCCAGGCCCACGCCACGCTCCACCTCGGCGTCGACACCGACGAGCTGGAGACCTCCGTCTACGACGTGCTGCTCGAGCGCGACGATCCCGGCGACCTCATCCGCGAGTCCATCGTCCGCAGCCGCGAGAACCTGCACGTGCTCCCCGCCTCGACGGACCTCGCCGGCGCGGAGACCGAGCTGGCGAGCGAGGGCGACCGCGCCCTGCGGCTCGCCGAGGCCGTCGCGCACGTCCGGGGCGAGTACGACGTGATCCTCATCGACTGCCCGCCCTCGCTCGGCACGCTCACGCTCAACGGCCTGGCGTGCGCCCGCGAGGTGATCGTGCCCATGCAGGCGCACTTCCTCGCGCTGCAGGGCGTCGGCAAGCTGCTGGAGACCGTCTCGCTCGTCGGCCGGTCGGTGAACCCCGGCCTGCGCGTCTCGGGCGTCGTGCTCACGATGCACGAGGAGCAGTCGCGCCACGCGCGGGAGGTCGTCCAGGACATCATCGGCTTCTTCAAGGCGAGCGCCGAGCGCGACGTGCCCTGGCGCGGCGCCCGCGTCTACCAGCCCGCGGTGCGGCGCAACATCAAGCTCGCCGAGAGCCCGAGCTTCGGGCAGACGATCTTCGAGTACGCCCCGTCGTGCAACGGCGCGGAGGACTACCGCGCCCTCGCGGGCAAGCTCGTCGACGAGTGGGACCGCCTGCTCGAGCGCATGACCGCGCAGCGGACCACCGAGCCCGCCGCCGCACGCCCGAACGCCGCCGCCCCCGCGCCCGCCGAGGGCGAGACCGTCCGGTGAGCGCCCAGCGCTTCGAGCACCACGCGCGCAACGTCGCCGTCATCACCTTCGTGAGCCGCGTCTTCGGGCTCTTTCGCGACGCCGTGTTCTCGCGCGTCTTCGGCGATTCCGCGGCCATGTCCGCATTCTTCACCGCGTTCGTCATCCCCAACGTCTTCCGCCGGCTCTTCGGCGAGGGGGCGTTGTCCGCCGCGTTCATCCCGGAGTACGCCCAGCTCGTCAAGCACGACCCCAAGCTGGCGGCGCGGTTCGCCTCGCTCACGGTGGGGATGCTCGCGTTCGCGCTGGGCGTGCTCACGGCGCTGGTGCTCGCGGTCCTCGCGGCGTTGCGCTGGCTCACGCCCTTCGGGGACGAGGGGAGCCTCGTCTTCGAGCTGGCGATGCTCATGCTCCCGTTCATGCCGCTCGTGTGCCTCACCGCGATCCTGGGGGGGATGCTGCAGACGCACGGGCGTTTCGCGCCGCACGCGGGTTCGCCGATCGTGCTGAACATCTGCATGATCTCCGGCGCGACGCTCTGGGGCGTCGCGATGGGCCGGTCCGCGGAGCAGAGCGTGTGGGCGGTCGCCGTGGGTGTGGTGATCGCGGGGGTTCTTCAATTGATGTGGGCGCTCGCCGCGCTGCGCCCGTTCATCGCGTGGACGCGCGTGACCGAGGGCGCGGGCGAGGCGGTGCGGCGGATGCTCAGGCGCATGGGGCCCGTCATCATCGGCATGGGCGCGCTGCAGCTCGGGACGCTCATCGACACCCTCATCGCCGGCTGGCCCGTGATGATCGGCCCGAACCTCCCCTTCTCCGAGTCCCCCTACCCCCTGGACGAGTCCTCCGCCTCGCTCCTGTACTACGCGCAGCGGCTCTACCAGTTCCCGCTCGGCGTCTTCGGGGTCGCGATCGCCACCGCCGTCTTCCCCGTGCTCTCACGCTTCGCGGACAGCGACGCGGATTTCGCGCTGATCTTCCGACGCGGCGTCCGCCTGTGCCTCTTCCTGGGCGTGCCGGCGAGCGTCGGGCTCTTCCTCGTCCGCGAGCCGATCACGCGCGTCATCTACGCCGGCGGCGAGTTCGGCGACGAGCAGGTCGCCCAGGTCTCCCGCATCGTCGCGGGGTACGCCGTGTCCGTCTGGGCGTACGCCCTCGTGCTCATGCTCACGCGCGCGTTCTACGCGCGGGGCAACACCAAGGTGCCGATGCGCACCGGCGTCGCCGCGCTCGCGCTGAACATCGCCCTCTCCCTCTCGCTCATCTGGTCGCTCAAGGAGCTGGGCCTCGCCGTCGCCACCGCCGCGGGCGCCGTGGCGCAGGCCCTCGCGCTTCTGCTCATCGCCCGGAAGCGCCTCGTCTCCGCCCCGGTGCTGGACCGCGTGATGCTCAAAAACGTCCTGGTGATCTTCGCGCTCGGGCTGGTGATGGGCGTCGCGGTGCTCGGGGTGGACCTCGCCTGGCCGGCGGGATTCGCCGAGGGCTGGGCGGGCGGCCTGCTCCGGCTCATCGCCATGACCGGCACAGGCGGGGTCGTCTACCTCGCCCTCGCGGCGGGCCTCAAACGCCCCGAACTGCGGTGGCTGCTCCGCGGCTCGGCGTCCGACGAGCCGGCGTAGCGGTCGCGGGCTGGAAATTCGCACGATTCCTCGCCGCTCCCGTCTAAACTGGTGTGCCGTCCGGGTCGATGAGATTCTCGGACGTACGCCCGCTCCCGCGCGCGTGCCGATACCGCCTTTGTAGAGATCGCTCGCCCGCTCCCCACGCCCGCGCGGCCACCAAGACAAGGACGCTCCCCATGAGCCAGTCGTACCAGGCGCACATCCACTCGTTCCGCGTCGTCCCCTCCATGCCGCGCACCCTCGCGCCGCTCCTGGAGATCGCGCACAACCTCTGGTGGTCGTGGCACCCCGAAGCCGTCGCGCTGTTCAAGCGGCTCGACCGCCAGTTGTGGGAGGACTCCGGTCGCAACCCCGTGCTGATGCTCGGGATGATCGACCAGCCCACGCTCGACCGCGCGAGCCAGGACCGCTCCTTCCTCCACGCGCTGAGCATCGTCCACGGGCGGTTCATCACGCACCTGGAGCGCTCCAGCTGGTTCGAGCGCGTCCAGCCGGACGTCTGCAAGGGAGACAAGCCCCTCCGCATCGCCTACTTCTCCGCCGAGTTCGGCTTCACCGACTGCCTGCAGATCTACTCCGGCGGCCTCGGCTGCCTCGCGGGCGACCACATCAAGTCCGCCTCCGAGCTGGGCCTGCCCATCTGCGGCATCGGCCTGCTCTACCAGAACGGCTATTTCCACCAGTACCTCAACGCCGACGGCTGGCAGCAGGAGACGTACCCCGCGATCGATTTCGAGAACCAGCCCGTCAAGCGCATCATCAACCACGACACCGGCGAGCAGATGACCGTCACCGTCGACCTGCCCGGGCGCGCCGTCACCGTCGCGCTCTGGGAGTGCCGCGTGGGCCGCGTCCCGATGTACCTCCTGGACACCAACGTCCCCGAGAACGACGAGCAGGACCGCGGGATCACCCGCACGCTCTATGGCGGCGACATGGACATGCGCATCAAGCAGGAGATCGTCCTGGGGATCGGCGGCGTCCGCGCCCTGGAGGCGCTGGGCGAGACCCCCACCGTCTACCACCTCAACGAGGGCCACGCCGCCTTCGCCGCGCTGGAACGCATCTGCAAGCTCCGCGAGGCGCACGGCATCGGCTTCGACGAGGCGCTGGCCGCGAGCGCCGGCGGGAACATCTTCACCACGCACACCCCCGTCCCCGCGGGCATCGACCGCTTCCCGCGCGACCTCGTCGAGGGGTACATGTCGCCCATGTGCCACCGCCTGGGCATCGATTTCGAGCGCCTCATGCGCCTCGGCAACGCCGGGCAGGCCGATCACTTCTCGATGGCCGTGCTCGCCCTGCAGACGAGCCAGTTCGCCAACGGCGTGAGCAAGCTCCACGGGAAGGTGAGCCGGGGGATGTGGGCCAACCTCTTCCCCGAGCTGCCCGAGCCCGAGGTGCCGATCGGCCACGTCACCAACGGCGCGCACCCGCGGACGTGGATCAACCCCCACCTCATGGCGCTGTACGACCGCTACCTCGGCCCCGACTGGCAGCTCGACCCGCGCGACGACGCCATCTGGGAGTCCGTCCACGACATCCCGGACGAAGAACTCTGGCGCACCCACGACGACGCCCGCCACAAGCTCGTCGCCTGGACGCGCCGCAAGCTCAACGACCAGCTCAAGAACCGCGGCATCGCCCGCGACGCCCGCGACAAGGCCAGCGCCGCGCTGGACCCCAAGGCGCTGACCATCGGCTTCGCGCGCCGCTTCGCGACCTACAAGCGCGGCACGCTGCTGATGCAGGATTTCGACCGACTCGTCGCCCTGCTCTCCAACCCCGATCGCCCCGTGCAGATCCTCATCGCCGGCAAGGCGCACCCCGCCGACGGCCCGGGCAAGGAGCTCATCCGCGAGCTCGTCAAGCTCGCGGCGCACAAGGGCGTCAACCACCGCATCGTCTTCCTCGAGGACTACGACATCGAGGTCGCCCGCCGCCTCGTCCAGGGGTGCGACATCTGGCTCAACACCCCGCGCCGCGGCATGGAGGCCTCCGGCACGTCCGGCATGAAGGCCGCGATGAACGGCGTGATCAACGTCTCGATCCTCGACGGGTGGTGGGACGAGGCGTACGACCCGTCGGTCGGCTACGCGATCGGCA